CGGGGAACCACCAAATTGTAAATGATGTCGATATTGCACGGTCGCAAAAATTTTGAGATTCACGGGTAATTGTTGATACCTAAATAAAATGCTGCAAAAATTAAATATATTTTTACCGGTCAAATAGGTAGCGGTCAATTGACCATCCCCAACTCTACACTTATATCAACCAGCCGCTACAATGTCTTGCATCAAAAAATACTACCACCTTTTTTAAACGATTTAAAATAGTGTGTGAGTTTTTGAAGTACCATCCGTCCACTTGGAACTCCCTAGAAGATTTTCAAAAGGGATTGTCAATCGTCAAAAAGCTTAAAGCTTAAAGTAAATGACGGCCGAAAGAGGTGTCAAACTTATGGAAGAATTTAACAGTATTTTAACAAAAAAGGAAGATCAGAAACAGATTCTTTTAAAAGTTGTTAAGGACAACCTTACACTCTTAGAAAAGACCTGGTATTTGTAACTAACTTATTATCGTTGGGGTAAAACTGTTGCAGAAACAAAAATTTTTTGTTTTTTGTAATCAGTACCTTTATATGTGTAACTGCTTGCATCATTACCTGAAAAGATTTAGTTTTGTTGTTGAGTATTATTTACTGCAAAAAGGCGATTAGGTTATTTTAACTGAAACTTTGTGTTGGCTAGTAGTATTGACAACATTATCTCAAAAAAATCATTTCGGCGGTAAAATGTTTTTGTTGGATCAAATATTTAAGTAACATTCTCAACTGACCGAAATTAGTCCGTGGAACTAACAGTTCGGTTGTATAAACTATGCGTCACCTTTCACACAGCTAAGACACCAGCGGTGTGAAACAAAGTGTCAGTTGGGGATGTTGTCTCTTTAGGTTAATGCAATTGCAAACTTTGTGCATTTCGCGCGCGATTTGTCCAGCCCGGCGCGTGCTTTACTTTTAACCTGTATATAAACGGTGTTGCACGGCGTCCAGACTTCGGTGGTGTTTATTCTTTTGTATTTGTGTACCAGCTCGTGTGTAGTGTATATTTTAGGTAAGAAACTAGTTTATTACAATTAGTCATTTGCCCCTGTAAATTCAGTGGTGACATACTTTTTAACTATTCATATACAGTGCTTGCAAATCCAAGTCCGACCACACTGGAAAGGACGGCTGTTCAATACCCGCGTGAAAAGAACAAGGATAGAACGCCAAATAGAATTTGATTGGCCAGCCGGCAGGCTACGACAACGCATACCCATCGCGCACCTCGCAGCGTGCTTGACACGAGGATATCAGAACGAGAGTTGCAGTGGTGCCAGCAAGAGGTAGTAATTTTAGTAAAAAAGATTATTTAATTAAAAAATGTAGGTAGGTACACGTTGGAACAAAAAGTTCAGATTTTAATCTGGCATTTTGCTGGTAATTCTGAACGAGAAATTCAAAGATTATTTGCGGGAATGTTCGAGGCCAGACCAAACAGAGAAACAATTCGACGAACCGTTAATAATTGCTTGTTCGAACATTTAATTTAATTTTTCAGTTTATTTATTTTTAGAGTTTTATTAGACCAGGGTCGATAATTTTTGAAACCAAAAAAATAACAGTAGGATGAAACCCATTGAAAAAGGAGAAGAATATAATAAAAATAAAAGGAAAAATAAATTACGGGCGATCTGACTTTGGGAAGTGGGAGGGGGGGGTTTTAAGGGTAAAAAATGGTTTATCTCGATTTCCGGCAAAACTACAAGTCCTATGGAAAAAAGTTAAATGTCAAAGTTGTAGGTAATAAAAAGATCTACAACTTTTGTATTTACAATTTTTTCAGATAACCTCAAAATTTATGTGAAAAAATCAAAAAACCAAGTTTTTGGTTTTTTATTTTTATCTTTTTCAAGAAAAAAATTTTTTCCATGAAATTTGGTGAAAACTTACCTTTTTATGTCCCAAATACACTGTAATTTATTTGATTTGAAATATTTATTATTTCGCCTTATTTTGATTTAATATCAAAAAAGCACCCTAATTTTCAATCGAAAATTCTCGCGTCAAAATATCAGCTTTTTTCAAAAAGTCGGTGTGCTTTTTGTTCGATGAACTCTCTACTTTCTGATGGTGTAAAAAAAATATACATTACTACAAAAAATATTATAATGAATAACGTAATCAGAATGAAGTATCTAAATTCAATAGTATGATTTACATGTATTTTTATATTTTATGAGATTTTCTGACATAAATGTTATTAGAATTTAATAAATAAACTTTTTAACTAAAAAAATTGCGACAATCACATTTTTTTGATGAAATTGTACATAATGATTAAAATAAATTTTCGAATTCGAGTTTTTTTTCGTTATTCATTATAATATTTTTTGCATTTTCTGAGAACATTTACCATAGTTATGTATATTTTTTTTACACCATCAGAAAGTGGAGAGTTCATCGAACAAAAATCACACCGACTTTTTGAAAAAAGGTGATATTTTGACGCGAGAATTTTCGATTGAAAATTAGGGTGCTTTTTTGATATTAAGTCAAAATAAGGCGAAATAATAAATATTTCAAATCAAATAAATTACAGTGTATTTGGGACATAAAAAGGTAAGTTTTCACCAAATTTCGTGGAAAAAAATTTTTTTTTGAAAAAGATAAAAATAAAAAACCAAAAACTTGGTTTTTTGAATTTTTCCCATAAATTTGGAGGTTATGTAAAAAAATTGTAATTACAAAAGTTGTAGATCCTTTTATTACCTACAACTTTGCCTTTTAACTTTTTTCCATAGGACTTGTAGTTTTGCCGGAAATCGAGATAAACCATTTTTTACCCTTAAAACCCCCCCTCCCACTTCCCAAAGTCAGATCGCCCGTAATTTATTTTTCCTTTTATTTTTATTATATTCTTCTCCTTTTCCAATGGGTTTCATCCTACTTTTATTTTTTTTGGTTTCAAAAATTATCGACCCTGGTCTAATAAAACTCTAAAAATAAATAAACTTAAAAATTAAATTAAATGTTCGAACAAGCAATTATTAACGGTTCGTCGAATTGTTTCTCTGTTTGGTCTGGCCTCAAACATTCCCGCAAATAATCTTTGAATTTCTCGTTCAGAATTACCAGCAAAATGCCAGATTAAAATCTGAACTTTTTGTTCCAACGTGTACCTACATTTTTTAATTAAATTATCTTTTTTACTAAAATTACTACCTCTTGGCAAGAGGCTCTCGCTGGCACCACTGCAGTTCTCGTTCTGATATCCTCGTGTCAAGCACGCTGCGAGGTGCGCGATGGGTATGCGTTGTCGTAGCCTGCCGGCTGGCCAATCAAATTCTATTTGGCGTTCTATCCTTGTTCTTTTCACGCGGGTATTGAACAGCCGTCCTTTCCAGTGTGGTCGGACTTGGATTTGCAAGCACTGTATATAAGAATATATTCTTATGTGTTGGTTACTTATAGATATCTCGAACAAATAATATGGATATACGGACTGTTGTAGCAGATTTATTAGGAACATGGGGTTTACCTGAATTGGTTCCAGTTTTTAAAGGTTAGGTATTATTATTGCACTCCTTTAATTACACTATTGTAGTTTTGGGTCCCGAAAAAAAAATACAAAAATGTGAAAATGCCATTCCGACTGAAAATGGCCTCCTGAATCCAATGGTGCCCACCAAAAGTCTGCATCACGTCGGAATTTCGAGAATTTTTTTGTTTTGTTTTGTTACAGCTCAAGTCGCATTTTTGGTATAGGGCCTATACTAGAGGCACTTACACTCAAAATTTATCGAATGCTTACGCCTGTTATCATGCAAATATGTTACGTTGTACCTAAGAGTCATTGTTAAGTTGTTAAACATCACGGTTTACTGAAGAAGTATATTCAACTTTCATCTTAATGTACCTATCTGTGTATATTTACCAAATATTTTTAAATGTTTTCTTAGAGTAATTATTAATTTTTGTTATAATGTTTAAACCAAAATTTGGTGTTTTCAGTTATATTGTTATTTTTTAATTTATAATAAATATTTACAAAACGAACGGGCATGAATTTCCTTTCTCTATTTTTTATAATATTTACACAAAAAGTGTTATATTTATTAAGCAGGTATGTACTGTGGAATAATTTGTTGTTGCTACTAACGCAAGCATTTAATATTAAATATAACTTAGTTACAGTACAAAACAAATTTATATTATATCAACTATTAAATTCTTTAAATGTACCTTTTTTCATGTAATTTCAATTAAAAAATAAATTCCTGCATGATACAATGTTTGTTGCGATAAATAGCAAGTGCAGTTGTTAAAACTTAGACGCTGCTAAAATGACAGACTAATGTGATTGCATTAAATATCAATTATTTGTATGAAAAAAAAAACTAATTTCGATGCACTTAAACTTGTTGGTTGGAGCTACCAATATTGGCTGTTCCGACAACAAACTGTAAAAACAAATTTGTATTGGTTCCCACAACATATTTTTTTGTTGTGCCTATTTTCACTAATAAAATTGGTTCTGGGAACTAAATTTTCATTGCAAATACCAGGTCTTTTCTAAGAGTGTAGTTCCGAGTTTTCGTGCAGTAGTAAAGCAGCACTTTAAAGAACAGTTTAGATTACATTTATTTGTTTATAATTTTTTGTTTTACCTTACCAAATTTTGTGTTCAATAAATTTATAACTACTCATACATTTTTTTAATAATAAAAAATTAAATCTTCCCCAAAAAAAGGCCCTTGAGGCACGTCTTGGGGTTGGTTGATGGGGCTCAAATTTTACACAGCTTATTATATTCCTATTTGAACAATTTTTAAGGGGTGAGACGGCCGGAATTTCACAACAAAAAATTTCATATACAAATAAGGACCACCCTAATGCGCACAGTGTATTATGTAATATCAAGCAAACTTTTAAACTTATTTAGGTAGTACTTTGTTATCATTTATTACTGATAGTTCGGTTGTTATTGTGATTTCTCTGGGGCTACATGAACAGTTTAGAACAACTCCGCGAACTTGTCACTGCAGCGGCAAATGAAATCTGAAATCATCCGGATACTTTGTGTGGATACTAACGGCGGGATAGTTAAACATTTATTATAATTTTGTGGAACACTTGAAAACCACGGAAACTTCGACATACCTAACAATAAAAAGTAAGTATTGTTTTATTCAAATTACCTAAAATAGCTGAGTATGCAAAACAAAAAAAAAATTATCAACAAGTAGGTACTACCTAGGTAGTACAGTGGCGGACACGGAATTTTGAACGGCTTTCGTCCAGTTAATATTAAAATCTTAACTTCCTTTATGGCCAACTAACCTTACTTCCGGTTATCACTAGTCTTGTCGTTTTGACAGCGAAAGCAAAAATGGACAATATTGTTTCTTTGCTATCTGGGGCAAAATTTGCCAAGTGTACCAGGTGAAAAAATTTTTGTCACCGATTTTGTTTAAACTTTACTTATTTGTTGTTCTTATAACGAAGAATCATATTATAAATTTTTTTTGCTTTAGGATTGTTCATTCAAGAGTTATGGATTATTGAAATTTATCGATTTTTTACTTTTTGGTGAAATCGCTTTTTATTTAAAAATTCATAACTTCTGTTCATCTCTTTATTAAATATTTAAATTTAACCACCTTAAATGATTTTTTCCGTAATTTTCAATGGGCTATACCGTTTTTGCAAAAAAATAAAAATTGCAATTTTTATTTGAAATTTTGCAAAATTTTGCATTTTTTGAAACAATGTGTATTTTTTTATTTTTTTTAAAATAGCATAAAATCCAAGTTTATTATGTTACCTTTGAATAAAAAAAAATTTAGAGTGGGCCCGACATGTAGAAGGGAAGTTTTTCATATTTGAATGCCGCACGGTCTAGCCATCAAATAGCTACTACACTGCCGTATGCGTTTATACCTAGTAGATGCGAGTAAACGAATATAAAATGATAATTTAAAATGTAAAATTATGTTTGAGTAGTCATTGATGTATTTTAAATATTTACACTGCCGCACGATATAGTTTTTTAACTGTATTTTTTGCACAAATTGTTTAAGCATGGGTCTACATAGATTTCGCAAGGAGGATCGATGATATTAAATAAAAAATTTATTGTTATAACCGTAACGGCTTGCCTATAAGCCTTTACGGTTATAACAATACTTTTTTTATTTAATATCATCGACTCTCCTTGCGAAATCTATGTAGACCCATGCTTAAACAATTTGTGCAAAAAAATACAGTTTATATACAAAAGTGCTCTTTTAGTTCCACCCTTACTTCTTAAGAAGTCCCATAAGCCAACTGAATGGCTTGTGCGGGTTAGGGGTAAGAACTGACCGCGGGCTTAAAGTCCCCTCCGAAGAACTAATACACAATAAAAAAAACTATATCGTGCGGCAGTGTAAATATTTAAAATACATCAAAAAGCGATTTCACCAAAAAGTAAAAAATCGATAAATTTCAATAATCCATAACTCTTGAATGAACAATCCTAGAGCAAAAAAAAATTATGCTATGATTCTTCGTTATAAGAACAACAAATAAGTAAAGTTTAAACAAAATTGGTGACAAAAATTTTTTCACCTGGTACACTTGGCAAATTTTGCCCCATTTACAGATTTATACATGGACAACCAAATTATAACGTTCAAAATTCTGTGTCCGCCACTGTACCTAATGAATGATAACACAAATGTAAATTTTTGCCCACTGTGCGAGCATGTTTTAGAAATTTGACATAGGTCAGGAACAACCAGTGGCGGCTCAAAATTTCTACTTTACTTATAAAATTTTTAATGATTTTTTTTATTAAAAAATGGCACTAATGCAAAAATATTAGAGGAAAAACTTTCTTATTTTGGCGTTTACTATCATCCCCTTAAAGGATGTTATAAAAGTGAGTTCTACAGGGTGTCAGCAAATAAGTATAATAAATAAGTATAAATATTATTTGGTGACACCCTGTAGAACTGACTTTTATAAAAGTGAGTTACTTCAGTCTACGTTGCAGCCGTCGATATGTGGAAATCGACTTGGAATACTTTAATCTTAAAACTACACAAAAAAAATAAAAATGGTACCTATTTAAAAAAATCGATTTTTTATTTTTGACAAAACCTTGATGTTATGTTTTTTAAATATGTAAAAAAATATAGTAGCCCAAAAAATTTAAAAGTATGGTTACTTCGGACAGTACCGGTAATATTGGACAATCGGGCGTAAAATCAAATTTACTTGCACTGCTATCTCGTGATAAGCAGTTGCATTTTTTATCGTTGTAAATCTGATCACTGTAGTACAAACTTTAAATTAGGGTGGCAATTCGTTGTTATAGTCGTGTAACTTTGTCATAAAGGTAAGTTTATAAATAAACATAAATTATAAATTTATAGAAATCACAATTGTACCTAGATGTTTAACATTAATAACATGGATTAAAATAGACAGTTGTTATTCTAAACTGACGTATATAACCTAACTTTTGACCAAATTTAAGTTTAAAGTTTTTGTTTGCAAACAATTTTATATACCTACATAAGTGTGTTTTTATAAATAATAGTTGTACTGTAGGGTAAATTCGGACACCTAAAAATGGTCAGAAACTACAGAAGAATATTGGGGGTGAGCCATACAAGTACTAAAATAGATTCAGCGGTTAGCGACGTTAAAAGGCGAAAGTTAAGTATACGGGCGGCAGCCGCGGCGGCCGAAAAGTATGGGGTGCCAAAATCAATAATTTCGGACAAAATTAATAATAAACACACTAGTGATTCTGGACGTCCTAAGGCTTTAAGTAATGAAGAAGAAAGATTTTTGATTGAGGGAATAAAAAAAATGACAGAGTGGGGGTTTCCCCTTCATATAAAAGATATTAGGGAGATAGTCCATATATATGGAAAATTAAGGAATCACTGATAGAAGGTTTAGAAACGGAAATATTCCTGAAAAGGAATGGATGAGAAATTTTATTTCTCGGTATGAAGGGGAGATTTCCGTTAGGCTGTCTAAAAACATTAAGAGGGTAAGAGCGGCAGTTAATCATGAAATGATAAATACATATTTTATTGAGCTAGAAAAATGGTTGGTTGGTTGGATAAGATTTGGCAATAAGCATTCACTTCTTAGCCACAGATATTTTTAAAATTTTATGCTATCATTTTAGAAAATAGATATAATATATGTATGTATGTATATTATATACCCATAAACATTTTTGTAATATTAAGAATTAATTAAGGTTAAGGGATTACATAAACATTTAACTTTTTTCTAATTTTTTTTCTTTTTATTATTGTTGTATTTTATTTTCTTTGTTTATTAATAAGAACCCAAACGAATAACCGATATTCCCTAGGGGAACAGGTAACGGGGGTACACGCTTCACGCCTAGGTAACCGTCTAGGCGACTTTTAAAACAGACAACACATAAATAGGCAACGGATAAATTGGGGTAACATAATGAACGACAATAGGATAGCTATGACCCGGACGACCAATGATTGGAGTTAAAAGATATAACATAAGAAAAGGAGGATATATAGAAGTTAAAGGAAAAAATGAATATTGGAGGATTGGAAGGATTGGAATAGTTTTATTGTGTGGTTAACGTTGTGTAAACAGTTAAAGAAAATATGGTTTAAATCGGCGAAGGAAGAGTTGTAACAGGATTCAATCAAACCAATGCGATATAGATGAGCAGGGTACTTTCCATGTCCTGTTTTTAGTCTTGCTATTGTAGAGGAAAGAAAAGTGGTTAATATACATAATATCTTTGGGTAAGGTAGGATGTATTAGACAATAAGGGTTTTTTGAGGTTTTTGTATAAATTTCCCATTGATGTTTCCACGTGTTAAAAATTTTTTGTGCGGTCAATTTCATTGCCTTTAATATTGCTGTGGGCCTTAACCCAAATATATGTTATATTTATTCCAGCATTTTTAATAATATTGTGGGTTTTAATAATGTTACAAATTAAAACATTTTTGGGTTTTTTAATAGAAAAGTTTTTAATTGATAACAACATATTTTTATTATGGATGTTTTCACTAATCCAATTAAGTGCTTGGAGGATGGCAAATGCTTCTGCTGTATATATGGAGCATAATTCATTTAGTTTAAATTGTGCCTCTATTTTAAATTCCTCTACCCAAAAGGACATGCTATTCCTGTAAGCTAGAAAAATCACTTAAGGGTTTTCTACCATCAAATATACTACGACGAAACAAATTTTTCCGATGATCCTGGAAAAATTAAAGTTGTAGTCAAACGGGGTTCAAAACATATGCACACAGGATTATGGACTCCTCAAAATCAAGTGTATCAGTAATGATGGCAGCGGCTAGTTCTGGAAAACTATTAGCACCTTATGTTGTGTATCTCAAGCCAAGCAGGATTATCGATAATCTCTCCAGTCATGTCTCAATCATGGTCTTACATAAATGTATGGAAAATAACATACAATTTATTTTACTTCCGCCAAATTCGACACACTTGTATCAACCGCTGGATGTCGCGTTCTTTCATCTACTTAAGAACGCTTGGAGGGGAGTGTTATCAAAGTAGAAAAAAATCTAACAGAGGTGTATTCCAAAGAGCGAATTCCCTAGACTTCTGCACGAAACGTTACAAAAGTTGTAGCAAATGTTAAAAAATATATAAAAGCTGGGTTTTTAGCTTCAGGGCTTATACCTGTGGATAGACAACGAATTTTGAAGCGATTGCCCGCCGATGCGTCTGAACAAACCCCAAATGCTGAAACCTCTTGGACGTCAGCTTTCGTTGGTTTCTTAGACAAGACTGGAAATACGAATACACCTTTAAGAAAAAATCGAGGTACAAAATTAAACATTGTTCCTGGAAAGGGAATAATTCCAAATAATAGAACCTCTGATAGTGAAAATGATCTTGAAGAACCTGACTTAATTCTAACGACACTTCTAGTGATATTTCTGACATTCCCAGTGACAATCCTAATTTTCATGATTTTCCTGACATTTCCAGTGATAATCCTGATATTACTGACATAACCAGTGATAATCCTAAAGAGATTGCTTTTGAGGAAGAGCAGCCTAGGGCTTCCACCAGTATAAAAAGTGACAAGAACAATTCTTAAAGTAGTAGACTGAATCGACTGATCTTTTGCCAAAT